TTTTAGTCAAATGTGTCTCCGCAAAGCCCCAAAGTCCAAACGGAAACTCCGCAACCGTAGCCACATGCTTGTGGAGAGAATCAGCATTGGACGTGCCCAGACAAAACCACCCAGAAGACTGAGTGAACTGAGTCACTTCCGGCCCAGGTTGAGCCGCTTCCCCAACTCGCACTCCGAGTAGCATCACCCAGAGCCAAAACCAAAAGAAATGCAAAAATCTGCCAAGACCTCTGGCGGGCACACAGGAATGGCAAGTCCTATGCCCCGTATGCACTAGTCACTCTCTTCTCTGCAGCTTGGTCCCCATCATCTTTTCAATCCTCGTCGTTTGGGCCTGCAAGTCGGCCTGAACTTTGGTGCAGAGCTCATGCAAGGATTGTCTAATGGACTGTCTTTCCAATTGCTGCTCTTGGACCTCCTTGTTGCTGGCTTCCAAATTTGCCGCAATGGCAGCCAAGCAAGTACTCTGCTCCTTGGACGTTTGCTGCAGGTCCTCAATCGAATTTGCAGCCTGACGTTGGTGTTCGGCAGACTGCTTGAACCAGTCATGAAACTGTTGGCCTTGATGCTTGAGCTCTTGCAAGTCCACCTCCATGCGGTCCATGCGCTGTTGCATCAGCGATGTATCCGAGGCCTTGTTCAAGTGACCCTTGACTTCATGCTCAACTTGGGCCTTCAATTGGGTCTGAATGGCCTCGTACTTGCTGGAGGCGGCATCACCCGCATGCATCATCACCGTTGGCACCGCAGGGGTGGTAGGGCGAAAGCTCTGCCATGGATCACCATTCAACCACGGGTCACTGGTGCCCGAAGCTGAGGAGGGGGTCTTTTGCAACCGCTGTCTGGTAGTCAAGGACATCACTGTGGCATCCGTGTCCTTTCTCTTGGGCTGCAAAGACCGAACCCAAGTGACAATGATCTCCCCCTCCTTGGTAGAAATGACCGAGTCTGGAGGTGGTGATTGCGCAGCAACCTGCCACGCAATGCCTCCTGCTGCTGAACCCTTTGGCTGCATTGGCTTGGCAGCCCATCCAATCTCCTTGAGCAATTTCTGAACCCCATACTTCTGTGTGCCAATTGGAACCGGCTCCATGACATACACATCAGTGGGTTGACATGCCACAAACATCTTGGAAGGAAAAAGCGCAGAAAAAAGGGCCCCTTCTTCATCCTTCTTGACACGAAGCCCATATTTGTCCTTGAGCCTACACAAAGCAAGGGCCATCTCCTGAGATCTAAGTTCAACCTCAGCTTCGTCTTTGCTATACTTCGGGAGCCAGATGACCCGATACAAATCCGAAGCTTCCCGACCATTGGAACTGCGTGGCTCAAAAAACATGCCATCCCTGCCAGAAAAAGCCTGGAGCTTGGTATTCATGTCAGCAGGAACTCGAATCAGCACAGTAAACAATGCCGCTTCAGCCGCTTTCTCCTTGCCCCCCTCCTTTTTTTGCCAAAAGAAGTTCCAGAGGTCCAACAAAGGCGAGTCCGTCTGTCCATCCAGATCCTTGTGCCATTTGACACAGTTGGCACCACATGCCTGGCCAGGACAAACTTGTAGAAGTGCACAATGTTCAACTATCTGAGCAACAGGCCTGCGGGTCAAATCAACCCAGGAAACCGGCCAAAGATCTCGGAAAACATGAACCTTGAAGGTCACAGTCGGACATGCCAGAATGGAAACCCCTTGGGAGGCACACTTGGAAATCTGGTCGTCACCAAGTTGCAACAAGCTGCCTGTCAGGAGTGCAGGCTCATTGGTGGGCAAGACCAAACAGGCGTAGCGGACCACCGAATGCGGCAAGCAACTTTGCAGATCAACTGGGATCACAGAGGTAGTCAAGACCGCCAGCGCATCCATACTGATGGACTTGCCTGCCTGCAACCATGCTTTTACATCCACCGCATTGGCCAGCGCAATGCCTCGAGCATTAGCCTGAATCCCATCCAGACTGATCTGAGGTACGTCTGTTCCAGCCTCATCCACGAAGAAACCTTCTTTGAGTTGCAGTGAGTGCGCATCCAAGACCGACTGGAGAGGCGTAGTTTCCTTGGGCGCTTGCTTGTCAGCTGTAGGCTTCTTTTGGGCAGACAATCCAAACTTTGCGTTGGCTTGTGCATCAATGAAAGTCTGCAATTCATTAGGTTGAACCCATCGAAAAACTCTTCCTCTCCTGTCAGTGAGCCCTTTGAGAATCTTCCATGGATTGCCTGAAGATTTGGCCTTCTGAAGCTGATCAATGGGAAGGCATTTCACTGCTTCTTGCACACGATGAGCTACTCGATCAGCTGGAACACCCTTTTCCGGCAAGAAATCAAGCAGCCATTGCTTCAGATCTTCAACCTCAGTGCCATCGGCCCTGAAAGGTTCCATGGACCGCCAGCGCAAAGCAGCATACCATTCTTTCATCTGGAGATAGGTGATCTCGGTCACCAACTCTAGCAGGTACCCCAAATGAACCAAAGCCAGCGCACCACATGATGTGTCTGCCTGCTGAAGAAGGAGATTGGCCCTTCCAAAAGTCATTTGTTCTGCTCCAACCGCCAATTGAAAAAGGCGCAGCAATTTCACGAGATCCTCCATCAAGTCATTGGCGCGTGCATCTGCGATTTGACAGGTGAGTGTACTCTCATACCACGTGAGTCGAATAGTGGTCCAATGCTTCTGAAAAGCACAAACCACCAACACTTCTTCAATTCCCTCCTGAGTGAGGTGCTTGCCAATGGCTGACCTTGCCACTTCAGGATCAGCATTGACAAAATCCTTCGCCAGTGCCGGATCAAGGAGCCAGAGATGCAATTGGCGCTCAGGTGCAGTCAAAGCCGCAATTGCCTGAGCAGCAATCGTCATAGTAACGGAGTCCAGCCCTGTGCCCTCGATGGAAGCAAGCTCTTGTGATTGGACATCATGACCATCTAATGCGTCTGCAACACTTTGCACCAGTGTGGCAAAATCAGCTGGCAATGACTCAAGCCACTCACGCTGTGTGAACAAATCCGGAGCCTCTTCTTGAGCATCTTCCGCAAAGCCTTGCGCCCGATGCCATTCTGTAAGGCGAAAGGAACTGGATTGCAGAATCTTTTCATCCAAAGGCCAGGTTTTGTCTGATCTCAAATTCAGACAATGACATGCTGTGGAGAGTCCAATCCAAGGTAGAACTTGGAGCAATGTAGAAGCCCATGGGACTTGATGGTATTGCTCTTTTCCATCATATTCAATGCGAATGATCAGATCACGATCAAGACTTTTTGCTTTGCGCTTACGCACAATCTCCAGCTGATAATGAATGCACTGCAGAAGAACATGATCAGGAACAATGATGCCATCTACACTAACCTTCAAAATCGTGCCAGGCGAGTGAAAAGCCAATTCGGCCCTAATCAATGAGCCAATCGTAGCCCCTCCTGCAAAAAGAATGCTTCGAATGCCATGCTCATCCTGAATCCAGCAGCTATGACCCTCAGGATCTCGCAAAAAATCCCCACGTGGCCACGAAATCATTCTCTGCCGAAGGAGCATATTCAGGTAAGAACGAAGCACATGCTGTGCGGAATCAAAGGCGCCATTGCCAATGTCCAAACCTTGGTCAATCAGGTCAGCAAAAAGCCAAATGACTTGGATAGGCGAAACTGCATTACCTAGTAAACACAAGGCCTCACGAGGTCCCGCAAAACGCGGTGCAAAAGCTGGGATGCCTAGCAAAAGCTGCAATTCTGCCGGGTGCATGTGCCTAGCAAATGCTTCTGGGTATGCGGAACGAACCCCTACCCCTCTCAACCCTTGTCGAAAGATTCGCTCTTCAGAGAGCGGCGCTGCCCTGCATGAACAAGGACAAGCTTGTAATGCTACTCCCCATGAATGCAGTGGAGTGGGCAGAAGCAACATGTCTTCCAAAAAGCGAGGCCCTTGGGTGATGTTCTCATTCAGGTACATGGAGCACTCATAGTCGTTCCATCTCAAAATGTCCTCTTCGTGCAAAGGCCAGCATGGCAGAGGTGGCAAAACATCTTGGAGCGTAGGTCGGATCGCTAAAGCTGGCAGATCACGGATCTGCAAATGCCCAAATTCTACCGGAAGAAGCACCCCAAACCACCTATGTCTACGACATGGCCAAATCTGCTGCAATTGCAATGAGCCCTGAATGAAAACCATGCCATGAGACTCCGCATAACTGCGAAGAAGGTCCTGAATCTCAGTTGAGTTGCGAGCCTCTGGCACATTCTCCAGCACTATCATCCAGCATTGCAACAAATGCGCAGCATACAATGCTGCCGGGAGCGCGCTGAGTCTGGCATCTTGTGCCCCCCGTTGATCACCTTGGCGGCTCAAAGGCTGACATGGGAACCCTAAGGTCATGATGCAAGGACATGAGCCTTGCAATTCCTGAATCTGTCGAATCACGCTCAATTCCTCAATGCCTCCTAACAGGCATGGCGTCTGGTGCAATGCTTCGAATGCCTTTGTCATGAACGAATTGTGGTCTACAGCCGCTACTGTGTAGCACCCTAGATACTGAGCAGCAATCGAAAACCCCCCAAACCAGCACATACATCTAAGATTCGGCCACCCCTGGCAGGATCATTCGATGTCATCATGTAAACATGGGAAGGATTCACCGAAATGCGAGGGAAAGAGTCCCAGGTCCGGTCCATCAAAAGAGCATCATAAACCGTACACATCTGGTCAGGTCGAATCTGGATATCACGGATTGCCAGGCATCGTCCCGATGTGACTTCTTCCACCACACTCCAGTCTGAGCAAATCTGCTTTCCTCGCAGCACCAAATGTCGACGTTCGCCAGCCTTCCAATTGCCTATGTTCCATGGCTGATCCATCTAATCCCCCGAGCTTCCGATGGTCGCGGCGTTACCAGGCTGGCAGGTCTCGGGCCGAACGCTTGATCAGACAATGATAAGCCGCCACACAAACCATGTTGACACTCCGACCAAAGATTATAGTTAAGTTATACACCTGATATACCACATTTGATACCCGCTAGGAGCATGGTCGTGGCAGTCAAGGAGGTTATAAGCCGAGGTGCCTTGGTTATGCATAACCGTTTGGAATGGGTGTTGGTCACCAGTGGTGCCCTTGGCGGAAATGTCCAGCGCCGAGGCGCCGAGTGCAAGGGAAACAGACAGAACCAAGAAACCTCATCAAACCTCGCTTGGTGAGGGCCTGGCAGCCTTCCCTACTGTGCTGTTTTTATGCTGTGAATGTTCCTTCCACTTGGCACTCTGGTAGTTCAAGATAGGGATAAAAATGAAACAAAGATGGCGAAAAGAACGGAATCACCAGCTGGACAGCATCGACTTCTTCATGGTTACTGATGGTCGATTTGGGTCATATATTGTCAGGACAGTACGTTGGGGCTTCGTGGGTGTCTATTAAGATCCCTGAAAAGATGTGTCCATCGGTGTCTTCGGTTGTCCATCAACCACACGCTCCAAGGCTTGAAGTGCAGCTGGATTTGGGTCGACTACAGTCTGGGATCCCAATCGGACCCGATCCAAACCCACGAGCTTCGTGACGACGCTCGGGGCGGGTCTGGGCGTCGGGGGTGTAGGTGTCGAATGGACGTCTGACGGTCGAAGAAGGGTGACACTCCGAACGAAGCGCGGGTGACCCATGGACGTGCATGTCTTTTGGGCCTTGGCGGTGAAGCTCAGAGTTCCAGGCCTTGAATCGGGCCTGTTCTCCCGGGCCGTCCATGGGTGTGGCCCGGAACGGAACGTGACATGGGGTGGGTGGGTGGTTTCCAGAAGCGAGCTGGGTGAACAAGACACCCACCAGAACGAGCAGATCAGAACGGATGGATGTTCCTGAACAGAAAAGCTTTTCTTTTGGGAGTTGAGCCGGAAAGGATCAGAAAACAAAGCAGCCACGGGTGTTTGCAGATCTTGGCATTCTTGGACTCAATGGGGTTGGTTTTGCATGATTTGGGAACCAAGTGCTCCTTGGTTATTATACTTAATACAAAAAAAGTTACAACACAACAATATAATACTAACTATACCAGGACCCTCCGAGAGGCTTCTACAAACAGCCTCTTAAGCAAAGTTACTACTAGAGACCTCTTAAATTTTAGGTCTGAGATTTCCTGAATCTTTGAGGTTTGAAAACAGATCCACCCTGGAAGTTCTGAGGTCCCATAACAGAGCTCGCGTGCCTGGCGAGTGGGCTCGAGGGGTGGTGGTGAAGATTTGAGACATGGTCTCCACGTCTTACATGATCAGGGTATATCCTGCTACGAACCGGCTCCCAAAATAGAGACAGCAAAACAAATCGATCAATTTTGGATTTGACTTCCTTCCTAGCTTGGACTGCCATGGGGAAGCAGCCAAGAGCTTTTACAAGTGCAGCTCAGACACTTGGTGCAAATGATGAGGGATACTCCACTAAGAGTTTGATTACCAGGTTGCTCCCTCATCGATTAAATCTAAGGACCTTGGCAAAGGCATTGATAAAAAGGGTGGATCCAGAAGAGGTTAAGAAGAAGAACGAGTTATGCCCTGGTGGTGATATCCGTGTAAAAGGAAATCAATGGGTGAGAGCAGCCTGGCGCGACTGTGGCCTGGATCGTGTTTGCAGAGAAGGTCAAGTCAGGGAGGCCATCAAAAAATTGATCGCCAAAAGGAAACTTCGTTTCAATCTTAGTCATTATTGAATTGAGAATAAGTGCATTCATGTAGGCTCTGTCATTCCTATTATGTTGTGATGAGGTTTCGGAAAGGATGATGATGAGTTGGAACTTTGGATTATAGAACAGGTCCCTTACAGCATTACAGTACACGTGTGTTCTTTGCTCTTGGCATGGTAGTGCTAAGGCTTCCCACAGATCTAAGGCTGTTCGATGCCATCAAGTAATGTTGCAGCACCAAAGGCAGAAACGTTCTGGCAATCCTTTTATCTCACCGGAGTCAAAGGCCAAAACAAAGACTGAGAAGCTTTACTGAGTTGCAGGTTTGGGTTGTGGTTTTGGGGTCTTTGATGACACTGTTTGTCATCTGGCCATCCCAGGAAAAGCTCATCCCATCAATCAATCGATGACGTGGACACCTTGCCGACGGATATGATGACAGATATGATCCCAGCATTCAATTTTGAGACCAGGTTCCTTGGAAGAAGCTTTTGAACAGGAAAACAACTAACAAACAGAACCTGACGTACTCAGGAAGGCTGGCACGAATGATCATGATGCAAACACTGTACCTGTACCTGAAGTGATACTTTTGGTGTGCTTTCTATTTTTGGCGTTTGCTTTTCTATTTATGACTTTAAGGGGTTGGAGGTTACCAGGTTGCCTTTTTTGGCTTGGGGGGGGGCATCTCTGTTCTTTTTTCACCGATTCCCCATCTCTGCCTGGTCCACCTTTTTTCGTGAATGCATTCCCTCCGAACCTGAATCTCCTGGCTCAATTTGCAATGATAAGGAACATGAAAGGGCTGAAGAAAGTGAAGATGAAGTTGAACGGAAGGCTGGGGAAGAAGAGGTGCATCAGGATGGTGGCAAAAGTGGAGAAGAAGCAACAGATGGTGAGGAGGAAAGCAACAATGCAGAAGATGGTGAGGAGGAAAGCAACAGTGGAGAAGAAGCAGAAGATGGTGAGGCGGAAAGCAACAATGGAGAAGAATCACCGGAGAACTACAATGCAAAGATTGAAGATGAGGAGGAAAAGAGAGGAGCCAATGAGAACCAGCCAGGTGAGGTTCCATCAGGGCAAGGTCCTGGGGAGGCAAGTGCGTCAGGATCTGAGGCTTCAAGTGAGGAATATGAAAAAGAAGGAGACGAAGGAGTGGCAGCGAAAGCTCAGGAGGCAAGTGATGATGACGATGAAGAAAGCCGAGAAAGCTCGGATGAAGGAGCAAGCAACAAAGGAACACAGGATTTGAGCGATGATGACGAGGGAGATGGAGAAGTGGAGTACACACATGCAGCCATGGAAGAAGTTAACCTGGTTAACCTGTCTGTCCGTGAAGGTGAAGAGTCGCTGCATGAAGACAAAGAGTGCAGGACAAGAAATGCTGACGTAGATCCAGGAGATGAAAATGGAGAAGAAACAGAGGACGACTGCAGTGCAAAGGATGAAGATGATGAGGAAGAGGGACAGCACAAGAAGGAAACCGATGACCAAAGACAGGATGAAGAGGATCCAGGTGAGAAAAGTGCTGAGGTGGTGGAGGACAAAGGATCTGAGGATTCAAATGATGAAACTGAAGCATCAGGAGATGAGAGGGGGGCATGTGAATCTCAGGATGCAGCAAATGAGTTGGTGGAAGCGTCGCCAAGGACTCCTCGGGAGGTGGATCTCATGAATGAAATTGAAGAGCTAAGACAATGGATTGAGGAGCAGGAAGCCAGAAAGAGGGAGAGAAGGGCGCTCGTGGAGACTGCCAACTCTGTGGCTGAACTCGCAGAAGGAAGTTCAACATCCAAACACGTGGAGGAGGCAGAGGAAGAGAACATGACAACAGATCCAGCTGACCAGGAGGAGGACGATGATGATGATGACGATGAGATGCAGGAGAAGCCACAACCCAAACCTAGACCAAGTCAAATGTTGAATGGGGTGAATCCGCAGAATTCGGATGAGGTGGAAGTGGACACCCCTGAATTTGATGTGGGAGAAACTGACTTGGAAGGTGTAGAAGATGAAGATGATTCAAACGGGGGTGGAGATGAGGGGAGGAATGACCATGAGAGTGGAGAGGAAGAGGAGGGAGAAGATGATCACACAGATCCTGATCCAGATCCCGGTAGATCAGGAGATGAAGGTGAGCCCCAGTCTGACCAGGATGAACAAGAGATGACTGCTGGCAAAGAAGAGACACATGAATTAGAAGCTGGAACATCCCCACCGCACGACCAAAGCAAACCAAAGGAGGTTGAGGAAGGTGAGAAGAAGGACGAAGAAGAGGAAGAAGAGGGGTACAAAGCTGATGTATCAGAGGCAGAAGATGCAAGTGAGCAGGAAAAGGAAAATGAAGAAGAACATGTTGCGCACAAGAAGAGTGCCAAGAGTGAGTGTGAGCGTGTGGAAAAGTCTGGGGGGACTTCTTGCAAAGAAGTGAAAGAAGAATCTGAAAATGCACAGGTAGAACAGGATGATGACAATGAAAAACAATCCAGCTGTGGTGTGTCCAGCTCGTCGTCCAGCAGCACTAGTGTCAGCATCAGTGAGGATGAAAGTTCAAACGAAAGCAGTGCAAATGAGGCTGATGATGATGGCAAGAAAAAGACCAGTGATCATGAGGGTGATGATGCTGGCAAAAGTGAGGCTGGTAGATTTCATATCCGTCGGCAGTACCCGAAGACCAACATCAAGAGATGGACTAGAACAAGATTCTCCACCCCTTTCATAGCTTCAGTTCGCAGAATGCGAAGGATGCGACAAACCACGATCCCTGAGTATATATCAGTGGCCTAATTATGCCCAACACGTTTTGTTTTTTTGCCTACAGTATTTATGTGCTTCGATATGTTTTGTGGATGTGCAGCAGCTTTGTTGCACAAGTCTGCACAGCCATTTATGCACGCAGGTCCCACGTCAAAAGTCAAAGGATCTCGAGCAATCTTTGGATGATGCCATGGAAGCACCGCAACATAAGGAGAAGCGGAAAGCTCCACCAGATCCCCCGTTGAGACGGGTCCGCCAAAAGAGCAACTTGCTTTCCAACATTTGCAACCTTTTAACTTTAACCTTTGATGCTTGATCTTAGACTACCTGTGGGGTTGTGGGGTCGTACATGTATCTCCTTTGGCCACCTGCCCTGACCGTCATCTCCTGTGATCACAGGTTCACAATGCCAAGCCTCTGCCACCAGCAAGCCCGACGTGAAGGAGGAAGAGGCCTGCAATATCTGGGGGAAAAAACATGTTTCTTGATCATGTTTGATTTCTTGTCCTACTGAGCACAAAATGGGTGTCCTCCTCCAACTCCAAAGACATTCTTAGCTCATGTTCATTGACTTTTTTGCAGGATCTAAGCACAAAGGTCCAAAAGAAAAAGAAGGGTGTGGAGAAGAAAAGCTTGCTGGAGACGGTGGTGATTGAGGACTCCATGGTCCTATGTGGGGCTCGCTTCAAGTTTAGAATTGCGAAGGTGCAACAAGAGGCCTTGAACAGTGCAAGTGGACATCTCCCACAGCCCTCGAGACAACTTGAGTTGGTAAGCCAAAAGAGACAAAAGAAAACCCGTGGTCGTGGGCACCCTGCTTGCACTCCCTTCCTTATTTTGGAATGTAACTTAGTCCTTTGCTCCCACTGATTGAGATTTTAATCATTTGATAAGATGGTAACACAATGGTACATCATCTAAGGCAGTATGAGCTTATCGAAAAGCTTGTGGTGCAGGACTGGAAGGTGGAGATTCGAGAAAGGCTAGAAGGTGCACACAAGGGGGACCTATACAATGTGTTCGTGGATGCTGACAACAAGCCATTCTATACCCTGAAGCATGGCTGCAATGAGCCTGAATCAGAAAG